GTGTGTGTTTTGTATGAAACAGTTTGTTTTATCAAACTGCGAGTGTTGTATGATGCAGCGCGAGTTTAGAGTGAGACTGCAGAGAAAGTCATAAAAGATCGACCATTTAAATGTGAGTGAAGATTTTGAACATTCAAGGCCTGGGTTGGCAGAAAGATGTTTGTGAGGATACCAGAAAACTCTACATATATACAGACAGCACTTGTGCTTAGCCAAGGGAAACCTGTAAAATGGCTGCCACAAGAGCTTGGTTTAAAGGATTAAAACAATTAACCATTTTAACCATAATAAGAAAAGACTCGAAAATGTTTGATTATAAAATTCAGATCCAACAAGCAGTAACGGATGTTGATGAAGATAGCTAACTCATCTGTTGTGATTCATTTCATTAATATTTAGAAGAACAGCAAACAGTTATTCAACACATGTTCTCTGAAGCTCAGCTTCACATAAATGGACATATAAATAAACAGAATATGCATATCTTAGGCACTGATAATCCCCATGCTCTGCGTCCTGAAAAATGCAGTGTGGGATGCTGTTTCATCAGATGGAAACTTCACACTGAACTTCCTGGATGACATAAGTAATGCCGCACGCTACTTGCAGATCTTTCAAGGCTATTTTGTTGAGACTCTTCAAGCTATGGGATAGAACAAAGAAGAAACAGTTTCCTAACAAGATTAGGCAAGACTACACATGGCAAATGTGATTCAGGACATATTGAATGAACATTCTCATGAGATGGCCACCTCTGACAGATATCCTGGATAACTTGGATAAATGTGTCCAAAATACTAACCACATCTGAATGTCAGATTATTTTCTTCAGGATTCCAGAAGGGCAGGAATAATTCGTTCTCAGACAAATATCACACTCACTGCGGATGGATTATCGGAATATTAAATTAAGAATCAATACGTTAGTAATGAAACAAATACATACCTAACCCAAATTCAAGTAAATCTTCTTCATCGAAATAATAATATACAATACAGAAATGTCTCTATAATATGATCTGCTTACACGAGAAAGTGAACCAATTCAATTTCGTAAATACATTAATATATTTCTTCACATTGGGAAGAGAAATTACGGTTCCCAGTAAAGTTACACAAAAACGGGGAATCACACATAATGATGATCACACTGGACAGACATATATTGTTCTAGTGAGTGGTCGATGAAATGAATGTGTGAAAGAAGACGAAGAAGAATAACCAAAAATACATTACATTACGTACAACATACCCTTCCACGGATGTCAGGAATTTTGTCACACTTTTTAAAAAGCTGTAGGTCGCAAACATAGACAACTCCCGAAGAAGATAACTATGCATTTTTAGCCTACTAGCTCATCATCATAAGCTATGTTATGTTGAATTCACTGAATTAATGAGTATCACCTCACTTTGAGACTTCATTCAGTCAAAATATTGCACCTTACAAACCAATATTTATCAACACACTATCTGTACAAAAAGCTATGAGCCATATACTGAACTGTTTTTAAAAACATATTTCTCAACTATATTATTTCCGCGCAATGCCTAACGGCAACTTATCCAGACGCAAAATACATCCGAGCAGTATGTAATTTTAGTACTTGTGGGTTATCGGGACACATCGCTTTAAAAATGGGTTAGGTTAGGTTAGTTTATCTTAGGTTACGTTAGGTTAATGTGTGTGGATAAATGACATATACTTGAAAGTTATTATATTTTATTTCAATAAATGACAAATTATTAAATTTTATTTTGATATGCATGAGATGTTAATTGTTATTACTACCTGTCTCCAGAGGACAAAATTTGCTTATGGATTTTAAAATCGTTTTAAAAATATCACCGTTATCATTTGTACGCTGCCACAAGATCTCAGCTAAATATGAATCCAGATGATGTCGGGCCATGCCTCTCTGTTTTGCCTCAAATACACAATTACTAATCCTATCCTCGATAATATTCCTGTACAAATCAAATGTGCTCGAGTAGATATTCATTTGCATTCTCACAGCAGACAAAGTCTTATTCAAGATGGGACAATAGTTACTTTAATCTCGGTAAGCAATAATACTTCTGCAGACTCTTCTGATAATAGGAAGACCTACATATATCACAAGAATATGTGCACCCCACACATGTATTGACTCATCGGATTATTCTATTAATGAGTAGATTTAATGTTACTGAAATAACCAATAGTCATTAATGGCATTACGCTGGTAAAGGAATCATTTATGAAATATATCACATAATTGTGTCTACTGTCTATCATGTATAATGTGATGTGTCTTCAAAGCACCCTTCTGAACGAAAGATTTTTTACAGACATCACAGATATATGGCCGCTCCCCACTGTGGATGCGTAGATGTATCTTAAGATCACTCCTCCGACCAAATGACCTATTACACAAATCACAAGAGAATGGCCTCTCCCGACTGTGTGTACGCCGATGTCTGATTAGATTTCTTTTATGAGTAAATGATTTATTACACATGTCACAAGAATATGGCCGCTTGCCATTATGTATTAATTGATGGATCTTCAGATTACACATCTGACCTAACGAATTACTACACGCATTACAGAAATCTGGCAGCTGCTCCCCACTGTGTATGCATTTATGGTTCTTCATAAGATTGCTTCGACTAAATGATTTCTTACACACATCACAGCAGTATGGCCACTCCCCACTATGTATGCGTAGGTGTACCTTCAGATTACTACTCCTACTGAACGATTTATTACACACATCACAGGAATATGGCCTTTCTCCACTGTGCGTAAACTGATGTTTGTTCAAACTACCCTGATCAATGAATGATTTGTTACATACATCACAGGAATATGGACGCTCCCCACCATGTATAAGGTGATGTCTCTCCAAGCGACTTCTGCGGCTAAATGACTTATTACACACATCACAGGAATATGGAAGGTCCCCATTGTGAATGCGTTGATGATTCTTCAGTGTAGTTTGAAGAATGAAAGATTTATTACACACATCACAGGAGTATGGCCTTTCTCCACTGTGCGTACGTTGATGTTTCTTCAGATTACTCCGTTCAATGAATGATTTGTTACATACATCACAGGAGTATGGACGCTCCCCACTATGAATATTGTGATGTATCTTCAAACGATTTCTCCGGCTGAATGACTTATTACACACATTACAGGAATATGGACGGTCCCCATTGTGAATGCGTTGATGATTCTTCAGTGTAGTTTGAAGAGCGAATGATCTATGACAAACATCACAGGAATACGGACTCTCACCATCATGTAATAGGTTCCGTTCATTCACAGGACTCTAGCAAACAAATTGAAAAAAAATATTAGGACTAATCTTATTAGGAAGAAGAATGATACTGAAAACAAGTTCAATAAATATTGCATTACGAAAGTTATGTTCTTTTCAGAACAGAATTATTTTCTCAGTGGAATAGCATTTTATTTCCTATTACATTTAGTTCCTGGCTACCTGAGACAAATAGGTTAATTCACTTGTCAAGACTGTAATATTCTATATTACAAACAAACTCTCGACTGACAGCATACAGAAATGCATAAGAGTTACATATTCACATTCCATAACATGATGTCCAACCCAACCAGATTTGTTGTTAGAAAAACCTACTCACATTGCTTAGCCTGATGGGGAGAGAAAAAAGAGAGGTTAACCAATCTAGTTATTGATATCTAAAGCATTGTAAAGGAAGGATACACAGATGTCGCTATAATGGTGACATACAATTATATGCATTAGAGTGAACCTTCTGTTAAAAATCTTTCGAGCAATATAGTTAACTATTAACATGTTGTAATCCTTGCATCTCTTTATTCCGAGAAAAGAATCTCATAGACACTGAAAATGTCGACTTGGAAAATAAAAACAAGTAAGGACAAGTATGACAACTGCAACCATTCTGACACTATCTGTCCTTTGTGAATGATGCCAGTGACATCAGAGGTGTTTGTGGCAAATGACCTTAGCTTGAGTAGAGTGCCTGGCCTCTGTTTGCATGGCTGACGGTGTTAATATGAAGACTGACAACTTTGCTCAGTGTGGTTGCATAACTAGCTGGTGATTGTCCAACACTACAACAAAGTCACTTTCACTGAACAAAACTGAAATGTCTCTTCAAATAGAAAAATTCCCTAATATAAACCATCTTGAAAATCCAATTAGCTCTTTCTTTTCAGGTTCTTATAAATGGACAGATGAATAGGTAAAGTGAAGCTAATAGGTACATTTCTGTAGCCTTTAGTTTGAAATCTGCTTAAAAAAAGCGGGGAATAGTACATGTTATGCGGGTCCCATGTCACTACATAACAGAATGTTTTCTCTCTGTGGATTAAAGAGAAGACCTCATAAAGTTGGGGGTAACTATTACATTGTAAGTAGAAGATTCTCTGTCAAGGTTAATTCAATACACCCATGGAATTATTAGGGATCATCACTGATGATTCTTATGTCATCAGTCAACAATGAGCAGACATTCTGCTTTTTTGAGGTACTAGAAAAAAATCAGTAGTACAATGGAAGACATATCAGCTATTTATAGCCTTCAGGAAAGCCTATGATTCAGTTAGGATGAAGCATTATGCAAGTAAAGGTTCAGCTCTTCATAAACCTCTAGAATAATAAATTACCAATCAGTCCAGTAGCTCATGAATAATATAATATTTTGTATTAATATGATACAGCTGTAGCAGGTAACTTCTCTTTTAAAAAAGACAATAATATCAAAATATAAGCTTAATTCAATTTTGTATATTTTTTAAGTATCAAGAAGGTAGTTTGCCAATCAAATATAATAATATAGGAAAAATCAAGAAAAATTGGATTATGCAAGGAATAAAAATATCTTGCAAATGTAAGAGGAATCATATCTACAGCAGGAACAGTTATCACCCAAAAACAAGAGCATTCTATATTAAATAAAATCCTGAATGATGTTATAAAATAGGCTAGAACGCAGTATTACAGTAGACTAATAACAAAATCTGGTAATAAAATAAAAAGAACATGGTACATAATAAAAAGGGAGAGATGAAAATACATTTAACTGAATTGTTAACTACTTCTTTGGAAGAATGTGAGGTTAGGTTATGTACAATAGATTATATAATCACATGCACATTGGTCAAAGAAAAATCTGGCTTCAGGAAAGGTGCATGCACTGAGGATGCAGCCTTGAAATTAACAGAAAATAAAACAAATGCAGGTTAGAGGAATTAACTGTGATGTAGCAACATCTTTTGAGTGTGTAAATAATTAAATTTCATAACTAAATTACATTTTGCTAGCATTGCAGGAATAGCTGCAAAATGACTCACATGCTATTTCAGAGAGAGAAAACAAAAGGTTTGAGTAAAATCACCAAAAAACTAATTTTTTTAAAATTGGGGAACACTTTCTAAACTTGAACAGAACGTCCAATTATCTTGTAAGGTACCATACGAGTTTCTACAGTGACAAATCCTGCCCACATGTTTGTGTATCTTTTTCCAGAGAGGCAGTTTTATGGACAAAAAAAAAAAAAAAGATATATAAACAGCTCCATATTTCTGATGCAAGTATGGGAAACATCAAGATACTAACACGCACATTCACACTTTCATGTACCTTATAATAATGAGAAGCACAAGGCAGTTCACCAACATCATGCGACAAATAACAAAGTTCTGTACAAAAATCCTGAATGATGTTATAAAATAGGCTAGAACGCAGTATTACAGTAGACTAATAACAAAATCTGGTAATAAAATAAAAAGAACATGGTACATAATAAAAAGGGAGAGATGAAAATACATTTAACTGAATTGTTAACTACTTCTTTGGAAGAATGTGAGGTTAGGTTATGTACAATAGATTATATAATCACATGCACATTGGTCAAAGAAAAATCTGGCTTCAGGAAAGGTGCATGCACTGAGGATGCAGCCTTGAAATTAACAGAAAATAAAACAAATGCAGGTTAGAGGAATTAACTGTGATGTAGCAACATCTTTTGAGTGTGTAAATAATTAAATTTCATAACTAAATTACATTTTGCTAGCATTGCAGGAATAGCTGCAAAATGACTCACATGCTATTTCAGAGAGAGAAAACAAAAGGTTTGAGTAAAATCACCAAAAAACTAATTTTTTTAAAATTGGGGAACACTTTCTAAACTTGAACAGAACGTCCAATTATCTTGTAAGGTACCATACGAGTTTCTACAGTGACAAATCCTGCCCACATGTTTGTGTATCTTTTTCCAGAGAGGCAGTTTTATGGACAAAAAAAAAAAAAAAGATATATAAACAGCTCCATATTTCTGATGCAAGTATGGGAAACATCAAGATACTAACACGCACATTCACACTTTCATGTACCTTATAATAATGAGAAGCACAAGGCAGTTCACCAACATCATGCGACAAATAACAAAGTTCTGTACAACGTTGTAACCGTCCTTTCTATTTCTTTCTGTACATCAGGACGCCCGGCTGGTTACAAGGGGTTTTGTGTTGGGTTTCGTTTTTGGTAGCTCAGGGCATGGACTCTTGCCTTCAAGGAATATACGGGTTGGTGAAGAGGGGTTTCGGGATCAACTTGTGAGGCAGTGGAATAAGAGGGGATATCGTTCAGTTATAAATTGTGTATTTGTTCACTTTCACCAGGCACGTTTATTAATTTCGTACTTTCCCTCGCCGAGTGCAGGACTACTCGCCGCCGAGACTAAAGCGTAAGTGAGTGTTTGGAAGTCCCTTGCTGGACGCACACCGCGTTCAGCAAGACTTTTTAATCTGAAGAATGTTTTCATTGGCTGAGTGGTTCATCACCCTAACCTTACAAATTTGCCGCCGATAGCTTATTTTAAACCCATTGGTGGATAGTGACGTGAATTTCCCTAAGTCTTCTAACGGCTAAAACACATCTGGAAGAGCTTACTCATCCCACCAAGTCGAGCCACCGGTCATAAAATCACCCATTCATCTGATCACGTAGCTGGCGCCAGGCAGTCGCCCAGTGGAACAAACAAGTCTCCCAAGATGTGGCCCGAACTAGCGATACTAACCGTCAACTCGGGAAAATTCCATACAATTTGAATATAAATTCCGATTAAGGAAGGCGCTACCGAAACAAAACTAACTTAGGCCCCTTTCCTTGCATATAAACTGGCGTAATCGCCAAAAGTCCAGTCTAAGTCCATCTCCGGTCTGCCTGCTCGAGAATCGAACTCAGAGTGGGCTGTCACAACGTTAATAATTATTTCTGACATTTCAAATGAATAAATAATTACAATTTTCCAGCCAGGTTGTGGGAGTGCATCACACAGGTAAATTGCAGCAAAAATACCCTATAAATGAGTGCCGAATTAATAACTTGTGTTGGTCGAATGACTTTCACATATCTCATAAGAACATGTAGACATGAATTTCATATACAGGTTTTCTAATGTATGGCAGGGTCAATGAACTGGGATATTAGAAGCACTTCTGACAACTGAAACATGTTTTATGATGTACACAGAAATTATACCTGAATTTGAGAAGCAAAGCAAGACAGGGAAAGCAATGCATTCAGTGTGTTTCACCAAACCAGAACACTAAATTTTCAGAGACCAATAGCCTGTGTTGACTTGCATCGAGGACTTTCCATAGTGATGGTCTTCATCCATATATATATATGGAGGAAACTACAAACAGTGTCATGGACTGTTAATGGAACAAAGTCAGTAATTGATTACATATGATACTCAGAAAACATGAACATTAATTGAAGATGTTCAGATAATTGGAGGATATGACACATTACTTGAGATTTGAGTTTCTCAAGAACCTAGTATGAAGATGGTTGTTTTCCTCGTAATCTGACAGAAGTTTACTGACGTTTCAGAGGTGCTTGTTGCCTCTGTCATCGGGGCAATGACTCCTTCACCTTGATGAAGTTATATCATTCTAATTTACAAAGTAACAATGACATTGTATGAATGGTAGATTTATGCTCAACAATATTTAATTTTAATGAATATTATTTTACGTACACACAAAAATAATATTTTTTGAGATGTTACTATACAAAGAAAACAACAGAATTTGTAGGCACAATTTTATATATAACTAGCTAGATGGCTTATGGAACCTTAAGGTTCATCACTGAAGTAACCATGCTCCATGACTTGGTCAAAAAAATCCAGTCTCCTTCAACTCCTATCTCCCATAGATCCCGCCTGAGATTATCCTCCCATCTACGTCTAGGTCTCC